AAATCAGCCAGGTGTGGTAGCGCATGCCTGTAATTCCGGCTACTCGGAAGGCTGAGGCGAAAAGATCGCCGGAGCCCAGCAGGTCGAGGCTGCAGTGTCCAGGAGCGGCCACTGCACTCCAGTCTGGGCGACAGAGTGAGACTCCAACTCAAAAAAAAATAAAAAAGATTATATTATCCCGTATTGGCCAGAGAATGATGAAAAGGACATTATCATGCCCTGTAAGGGGATAATAAGTTGGTACAGCCTTTCTAAAAGGCAGCTTTATAACATTTATCAAGTGCTATGGCCCAGGAATTCCACGTCTAGGAATTTATCCAAATAAAATAATCATGGACAGAGATTTACATTTAAGGATGATAAAGGCCGGGTGCAGTGGCTCACACCTGTAGTCCCAGCACTTTGGGAGGCAGAAGCAAGAGGACTGCCTGAGTCCACAAATTCAAGCCCAGCCTGGGCAACATGGTGAGACTTCATCTCTACGATAAATCAAAAAATTAGCTGGGCGTGGTGGTGCATGCTGTAGTTCCAGCTACTTGGAAGACTGAAGCAGCAAGAGTGCCTGAGCCCAGCAGGTGGAAGCTGTGGTGGCCGTGAGCATGCCACCGCACTCCAGCCTGGGCAACAGAGAGAGACTGCGACTCAAAATTAATTAATTAATTAATTAAGGATGACAATGGCAACACTATCTGTAATATTCAAAAACTGAGATCATAATTGTCCAATAACAGTTAGTTGGGTAAATGACTCCTTTGTGCAAAGGAATACTCCTACACATAACCATTAAAAAAAAGTGATCTCAACCGGGCTCAGTGGCTCAGCCTATAATCCCGTGCCTTGGGAGGCTGAGGTGAGTGGATTGCCTGAGCCTGCGGGTTCGAGACGCGCCTGGGCAACTTGGTGAGACATCATCTCTACAATAAATCAAAAAATGAGCCGGGCATGGTAGCGCATGCCTGTAATTCCGGCTACTAGGAAGGCTGAGGCAGAAGGATTGCAGGAGCCCAGCAGGTCGAGGCTGCGGTGGCCGGGAGCGGCCACTGCACTCCGGTCTGGGCGGCGGAGTGAAACTCCAACTCAAAAAAAAAAAGTGATCTCAAAGATCTCAAAGTACACTCTGTCATATAAGTAAATGCTTGTAATATAAGGTAAAGTGAAAAGACAGGGCATAAGTCTATGTACATATAGCATGGCCCCTGTCTTGTAAGAATTATATATAAATATGCACAAAGGAAAAAACTAAAAGGAAACATATTAAAATATTAACATTTTAGAGAGTAGGATTATACAAATTTTTTCGTTAGACTTTTCTGTAATTTCTACAATAAAAGCAGAAGAAAAACATTATTTTAAGATACCAGCTAAAGATCAGGCATAGTGGCTCATGCCTGTAATCCCAGCATTTTGGGAGGCCAGGAGTTCAGGACAGTCTGGGCAACATAGCAAAACCCTGTCTCCACAAAAAATTTAAAAAAAGAAAAAAAGATACCAGCTCAAAAGTGTTCAGCGAGGCAAACGATGCCCCTGGCAAAACAGGCTAAGGCTATAGGTCTCCAGGGCTGAAAAGAAACTCCACAGGACCTTAAAAAAAAAAGTCAGCCAGGCTTTAATCCCAGCACTTTGGGAGGCTGAGGTGAGAGGCTTGCCTGAGCCCACAGGTTTAAGACCAGCCTGGGCAACTTGGTGAGACCTCTTCTCTACAATAAATTAAAAAACTAGCCGGACATGGTGGCGCATGCCTATGGTTCCAGCTATGTGGAAGGCTGAGGCAGAAGGTGGAGGCTGCAGTGGCCATGAGCGTGCCACTGCACTCCAGCCTGGGTGACAGAGTGAGACTCCAACTCAAAAAAAAAAGTCAGCCTATGGAAAAAAGAAAACCCATGTCTTTTAGAAAGTCTGAAAATACAGCCCCTAGCCGCAGCCATGGCTCTCACCCAGCATATTCAGTGACCTCCACTATGGTCCAGGAAGGTCTGAGAGGCACCCAACACCAGACAAAGGCCTACCCTGAAAATGAGTCTGGGCCCTCACACCCTACCAGCCTTTAAGGGATCAGCGGAAGGAGCCCAGGAGCGGAACCCTAGCTCCCGCACATATTACTGTAGCTTTGCTCCCATCCACACTGACCCACGATGAGCTCACCATTCCAACCCCCAACCTAGGAGAGCAGTCGCCCCAGGTTCCAGCCTTCCACTCGCTGACCCTGCTCTCTCCCTCCTGTAGCCACACTCAAACTCTGTCACTAAGGTAACCCCAAGTCTTTCATCTTAAAGCCTAGCAGCCCACTTTCAATCCCACCTCCCATCTTTCCTGTTCTTTCCAGTCAACCCCTTCTCTAGGCACTCTGGAATCCATCATTTTTCAGCCTCACCTACACCTGCGATTCACATATCCTACGTTTTGATGTCCCTCATCCCTCTCTGCTCTGACTTCCACAATTTCCACAGGCTAGCACAATCCCTCCACACACACACTCTCAACTACCTTGTTCCTCTCTCCCTTCATGGTTCCTGCCTGGCAAAACCCCCACTCTAGCACCTACTCCTGCCTGACTCTGCTCCAAGCCTGGAACTTCACGGGGCTAGAAGACCCACAAGACCAGGCTGGTCGCTCTCCATGGACATTCAAAGTCGCTAGCCTCAAGGGGATTTTGGTGCGGCCCTGCAATTCTGCTCCCTCTCCCTACTCCAGCCCCTCCCAGGCTGAGACATTCCTTCGCCTCTCCTGAGCTCGAACCTCCAACCCTTCTCCTACTTCTTTGTTCTCACAAAGTGACGTTAGCTCCTGATCACTGAGCACACAGAAGCAATCGGGGAACGTGCACAAGCTCCATCCCATCTACCCACAGCCAGCATGTCAATGCTCCTTTCCAGGCTTACACCTGCACAGGGTCCCAACTCTGAACAAGTCTCTCTCTTCTCCATCACTAGCTAGTCCCTTCGACTCAGTAAATTTGTCTCTTGGCTGGGCACGGTGGCTCAGGCCTGTCATTCCAGCACTTTGGGAGGCAGAGGCAAGAGGATGGCCTGAAACTACGGGTTCGAGACCAGCCTGGGCAGCCTGGTGAGACCTCGTCTCTCTAATAAATCAAGAAAAATTAGCCAGGCGTGGTAGCACACACGCCTGTAGCTCCAGCTACTTGGATGGCTGAGGGGGAAGGATCACCTGAGACCAGCAGGTCGAGGCTGCGGTGGCCGGGAGCTTGCCACTGCACCCCAGCCTGGGGGATAGACTCCTATGCAAAAAAAAAAAAAGTCTCCCACTGGACTCCACATCCCTTTGATGTGCACCCATTTCTCAGCTCCCCTCTGCAGCAAAATCTTCGAGTTGTCTCTGTCTTCTTTCCTTCCCTCTCCCACCCAGCCTTCGGCCCCACCACCCTACCACAATGACACCCAAGAGGCTAAATTCTACTGCCGATTCTCAGTGTGTAACTTATTTGACCTAACAACATCATGTGACCATCACACCCACCTTCTCTCTTGATGCACATTTTTCACCTGGCAGCCAGACAGCACAGCTCCCGCTTTCGCCCTCACCCTGAACAATGACGGACCTCAGGCTTAGCGCTCAGCTTCCTTACTCCCCAGGTGAGCTCATTCAGTCATGTGGCTTCAAATATCAACTATGCCCCAGGGACTTCCAACTGTCCCTACTTCGAGGTCTCTTCTTCTTCTTCTTCTTCTTTTTGTTTATTTTTTTGAGTCAGAGTCTCACTCTGTCACCCACGCTAGAGTGCGTGGCAAGTGCACGGTCAACGCAGCCTTAACGTGTTAGGCTCAGGCGATCCTTCCACCTCAGCCTTCCAAGTAACTGGAACTACAGGTGCACACTACCACGTCTGGCTTATTTTTTTATTTACTGTAGAGACAAAATCTCACCAAAGTTGTCCAAGCTGGTCTCAAACCCCTGAACTCAGGCAATCCTCTCATCTCAGCCTCTCAAAGTGCTGGGATGACAGGCTTGAGCCACCGTGCCCGACGTAGATGTCTCTTAACCCTTTCCCTGAACTACATTGCCAACTCAATCATATATATATGAAACCACACACATATCACCTACATACAGACTATCTGAAACTTAACATGTCACAATCAAAACTCTTGATCACACTCTCCAAAAATAGTCATCTGATGAAATTCCGATTTTAGCTCAAGCTTAAAACCCTGGTGCCACCCACAACTGCTTTTTCTCACACACTCATCCGACCCACCACTAAATCCTGCTGGCACTAACTTTGACATACCTCCAGAATTTCATTACCTTTCACTACCTCCACCGTTGGTATACTGGTCCAGGCCACCATCTCTCACTTACATCACTCCTAGCCCCCACTCACAGCCATTTTTTCACCTCTGCCCTTGCCCCGCCAGTGGATTTCCAACACAGCATACAGGACTTTTTCTTTGTGAGTAGGCATCTCTGTCACCCAGGCTGGAGTGCAGTGGCACACTCACAGCCACCGCAGCCTCAGCCTGCTGGGCTCAGACAATCCTTCCACCTCAAGCTTCCAAGGAGCTGGAACAACAGGTGTATGCCACCATGCCCCGCCAATTTTTAAATTTATTGCAGAGACAAGGTCTCGCCAAGTTGCCCGGGCTGGTCTTGAACCCCTGGACTCAGACAATCCTCTCGCCTCCACCTCCCAAAATGCTGGGATGACAGGCGTCAGCCACCATGCCCAGGTCCGAACGACTTTTAAAACACCCAAGTCAGGTTAGGTCTCACCTTTGCTGAAAAATTCCTAAGGCTTCCCCCCTACTTGGAGAAAAATCAAAATCCCTGCAGGTCTCTGTAAGGCCCACGATGCTCTGACCCCTCCCTCACCTCTGGGCCCTCACCTCCTCTTTCTCCCTCTTTTCCTCGCTTGGCCCTAACCACAGTGGGCTCCTGGCTGGCTCCCCCTGCACCCGACGTGTCCTCTACCTGGAACGTTCTAGAGCCTCACTCCCTCGTCCGCTTCCTCTCCACCCTCCGTGCCCGTCTCATGCCTGGCCCACCTCTTCCCCTCTCCCCTCTAGGACGTGGTTTCACGGGTCAGAGGCTCCTCTTGGCTTTTCACCGCCGCCGTCTCCGCTCCGGGAACACACGCAGCAGGAAGCCCACGAACGTCTCGCAAAGGAGGGCGTGAGTGACGGAAGCAAGCGCAAAGCATGCTGACGGTGGAAAGTGGGGGCTGAAAAGCTTCGGGGGCAGCTAAGCGTAAAGCCTTCCAACCCACAGCCACGGAGGGAGGCGCCGAGGCCAGGGGGCCGCGGCGGGGGCTGACGGCCGCGCCACCCACGGGCA